CCCCCCCCCTCCTCCAGTGCAGCAGCGTGACGCCAAGCGCGTACTTTTGTTTTGCCGCTGCAATGCCGCCGCGCCGCCTAGGCTGGACTGGACTGGCTAACCACTCCGGGGTCGGTCGATATCGCGGGTGTTTATTCTGCACCCCGCAGGCAGCGGGCCGCGGGCGGAGGGTGGAGCGGGGCGGGGCGGGGCTACAAACTAAACTACTATTTATTATTTGCCCCTCGTTGTCGCGCCACGCTCGAGCCGATCGGCCGGCGACGGTACTATTTCTGCTCGCGCCGCCCATAACCAAGGGCCCCGCGCTGCGGTCCGCTCGACTTGTCATTGTCCTTTCCTTCCACCCGAGCGGCGGCGGCGGCGGCGGCGCTCCTAGAGAGGGAGAAACTCCTCCCCTCGGTATGCCCGCTTAATGGATGCGACGTTCGGGGTAAAGTGATTGCCGCGGGGTTGGCAGCGCCGCCGCCGGCCGGCCCAGCGCCGCAATGGAGTAATTGTCTGGTTTATTTAATGCCGCGCCGCCCGCATGCCGCCCGGCCTACTTGTCGTCCTCCGGGCCGGCAAGAGAGCAGCAGGCATACGCCGCGCAGGAAGCAGCGGGACGGGCCGAAAGCAGCCGGAAATATCAAAGCAGAAGATGTAGCAGTCAGGTGATTCACTTTGAGGCGCGCGCGTGTAACTCATTGTACCGAGAAAGGCTGGCTTCTGAGGATGATCGGGCGCCCTAGCCGCTGCCGCCGCCGGCCCGCCGGCCCGCCGGCCCCTCGCCCGGTGTGACTGGACGAGCCCAGGTGATGGTAATGGTGATGATGGCTGATGGCGAGAGTCACCTGACGACACATGCCATGCCCATGCATATGCAAGCGGCGAGCAGTCGCGTGTCGCCTTTGCCTATACCCTGCAGCCTGGGGCCGGGGACCGGGCCGTACTGCAGGCGCGCGAGGAGGCCCTGAGGCTGGACAGGACGGGCCTCCGCCTCTGCTCTCTCTCGCGCGCCGCCTTAATTTCGTCGGTTCAATGTTTTGGGCGTGCCGCCGGCCCGGCCGCCACCGCTTCTATGTTCGCGTAGGTTTGCTCGGTCCGTTTTGTGTCCGTCCGTCCGCCCGCCCGTTCGCCCGTCCCGGTGCAACGCCCACACCCACTTTGGGCATAATGGAGTACTCGACACTGTTCCTGCCCCTTCCCCCTTGCCTTGCGCGCCCCATCAGCCGGGTGCCCTCTGAGCCCTTGGCTCTTGTAGCGCTGCTGCAGGCTCAACTGCAGGCATGCACTTGTCAGCGAGCACACCTCCGTACTGAGGCCACGGACTTCCCCCGAACTTCCCTGGTCCCTGATATGAAGCGTTAAGGTCTCCGACCAGATGCAGATGCGATACGACAGGTTCCAAACAAAGGGAACTAGACTTGAACAAGCTCCAACTCAAGTGCATTAACTTTTCAAACTCGATTGAATTTCTTATTCGTTGATTTTAACTTCGAAGTCAAAAATCATTGTGCTCTGACTAACGTTCATACAGTTGTAAACTTAAGTGAAACTTCTGTCTAGCTCACTTTCCTTTTTATTCTGATCCTACCACACTACCCCGCCGCGGGAAAGAAACGGTGTCGATGATTCTACTTATACACTAGTGAAGCAAATCAGCGTCATGTTTGAATGAAACGAAAGGAGTTCCACTCCTATGGAGGGATATGGAGGCCTTGCCTGGAGCTGCTCGCAGGGGGAGGGTTGCCGCGTTGTCGAAGGACGCCGTCTTGCTGCACTGGTCACTCCTCACTTGCACTGCTCGCGGTGGTCACGTCGCGTGTGGCGTTCGCGGTTCGGACGTTTCGTTTCGTGCGTCGCTCGGGAGGTCTGCTCGGCTGCGGCGTCGGTGCTCGACTGGCGTCCACAGCGACGCCCAGCCCACCGCCTGGGCGGATGGAGCGTGCCCCCCCCCCCCCACTACTACTACTACTACTTCTACTACAAGAGTACCACGGGCTGCTCACGCAAGGGGGAGGGGGCACAACCGAAGGTGACGCGGGGCGGAAAGGGGATACGAGGAAAATCACAGGGGGGATGATGCCTTCCGAACTGAGCGATGCCGTGCGAAGGAACACTCGCACGCTCCTATTCGAGAAGTCTTTGTATTATTTTAATTTTGAATCCGCGCGGCGTCGCGGTGGCGTGGCGTGGCGCGACGCTGCTCGCGGGGCAGCCCTGCCGCGGCATGGAGATGAGTTTAATGAGCGGCGCCCACGTCTCTGCGCGCCACAGGCGCCACCAGAGGGGTCATGACCCCGCGGGTCGACACGAAGCAAAGTAAAAACCCCTAGAATGCTCCAATCTCGCGCGTGTATTCTGCAATGAATGTATTAATTTCGCGTCGATTTGACGTTGTGTGGCCGTTTCCGTGTTTTTTTCCCGTGTGCGTCAGTTTCCACTTGTCACCGTGCCGTTGTGGCGCCTGCTGGTCGTTGGCGCCGCTGGTCCAACCAGGCCAGTGCAGCGGCCGCCCGCCACTCTCTCGCCGCTGCATCTCCTTTTGTTTTCGGGGGCGCGTTAACGCTTTGGTGGCGGCGCGTGCCCTGCCCGGTCCGCCGGGTCTCGCAGCTGCTCATTAGCTGTCATCGGCCGGCTGGGCTGGCCTGCCCCGAGCCGTGTCCCGGGGACCCTTTCCCCCTGGCTGTCCTGTCCCTCCGAGTTAAAGGGCACACGCTCCTTCTCACGCAATGCCGTGGGGTGGGGTCGGGCGGCCTCTATAGGGCTCGCGGCTCGCCGTCCTGGCCCGGCCGAGGGCCTGGCCCCCTGCTCGCTGACCACTATCAGCGCCGCCGACTCTCGGCCAGATCACTCTTGCGATAGGCGCGCTCGGTGCGGTGTGCAGGTTGGGG